AGGTAAAGATAGCAAAAGGATAGCTAGAAGTTGGAAAATGGTTGCTGAAGTGAAAATGAGTCAAATGCTTTTATTAAAGCAGAGTACTATTAGCTTCAAGCTAAAGTAGCAAAAGGCTAGCTTAAACCTAAATGCAGCAGAAAGCCAGCTAAAATGATCACAAGGCTAACTACAAGCTCAAATTAATGAGGCTAGCTAAAACTTGCAAACACTAGCTTAAAACTAAAAAAGATCAAATGGCTAGTTAAAAGTAGCAAAAGACAAGCTGTAAATAGCTAAAAGTTGGAAAATGTTAGCTAAAAGTGAAAAGAAGCTAAATGCTTTTTAAAGCAGAGTACTATTAGCTTATAGCTAAAGTAGAAAAAGGCTAGCTTAAACCTAAACGCAGCAGAAAGCCAGCTAAAAATGATCACAAGGCTAATTACAAGCTCAAAATAATGAGGCTAGCTAAAACTTGCAAACACTAGCTTAAAGCTAAAAAAGATCAAAAGGCTAGTTAAAGTAGCAAAAGACAAGCTGTAGATAGCTAAAAGTTGGAAAATGTTAGCTAAAAGCAAAAAGAAGCTAAATGCTTTTTAAAGCAGAGTACTGTTAGCTTAAAGCTAAAGTAGCAAAAGGCTATCTWAAAACTAAGTGCTGCAGAAAGCCAGCTAAATGTATTACAAAGCTAACTACAAGCTCAAAAATAACAAGGCAAGCTAAAACTAGCAAACACTAGCTTAAAGCTAAAAAMCAAAAGGCTAGTTAAAAGTAGCTAAAGACTARCTGTAAGTTAAAAGTATCCAATGGCTAGCTAAAACCTGAAAATAAAAAATGGCTTTGCTAAAAGTAAGAGAATCATAGCTAGAAGCAAATTTGAGCAAGATGCCAACTAAATGCTAAAGTAGCAAAAGCCTAGCTAAAAACTAAATGTAGGAAAACAGTAGCTACAATTYCACAAGTAACTAAGCTAGCTTAAACCAGCATACAGTAAAAGGTAAACAAATCAAATGGCTAGATAAAAGATAACTAAAATAACTAAAATAACAAAATTGYAGCTAGAAGCTAAAAGTAGAAAAATGGATTGCTAAGCAGCAAAAGGTTAGCTAAAAGTAGAAGAAGGGAAGATAAAATAGTAAAGGGATAGCTGAAAGGTAACAAAAGGCTGGCTTAACGCTAGCTAAAGATATTGAAACTGTGGCTAAAAGCACAAGACAAACTTGAGCCAGTTTTCAGAGACAGAATTCAAAGGAAAATGCATTTAGGAAGAATTCAAGATCTTGCAGATCACCTATCTCCTTAGTGAGCTGAATGTTTTGATAAATGAATTGCTAAAATTACACCAGTTACCAGCAAAAAAAAAAAAAAGGACAGGGAAAAAAAAGCTGAATCAGCACTTACTCTAAGGGTGTGCATAAACATTGTTCTGTGTCGTACTAACAGTTTTCATCTTTCCTGTATCACAATGAATCTTGATAAGTCAAAGTTACTGCATCCCTGTTTGTCCCTGTGGATGAGTGTGACTCACAGCTGTGGGGGTGGTCACAATGAGAAAGGTTGGGGG